TCAAGCTTGTTGTTGTCTCGTTCCCTCATGGAGAGCATCGTCTGCTATTTGCAACTGCTCATTCACCCGTTCTCACCATAGAGTCATGAACGTTGTGAGGCTTGATGTGTGATAGTGTAGTTTGGTGTCAGGAGGAAGACATGCCTCCCAACGACACGCGGACCGTCCAGTTCAGTGGTGCGGTGAGCACCGAGGCCTTTCGTGCATGCTCCATGTACATCCTGCAGATCTTGGGGCTGATGATGCACGCCGTGCAGCAGTTACGCGATTAGAATGTCAGAACAAATCCTAGCGGCAGAGCAATCATCTTCCGCAGAGCCGCAGACGGCATGTGCTCCGGCGAGAGATGATGGGAAGATGCTCATGTCCATTTCCTGATCAAGTCAGATGACTCTCTACCGGCTGGCATCTCGACTTCTGTCTTTGATGCATATCCTTTCTCAATCGTGCCAGGCCATTCCAGCCTCCGGCAGAAGACGGCCCAGCCGGGAGAGACAAGCCACCCCTTTCGTCAAGGATTGTGACACTGGGGTCTTGTACTGTTACTCATCGTCAGCACAAGCCCCCACGGCATCTTGGCCAGGCTGAGTGATTGGGTGTGCTCCAGCATACGCGTGAATAGTGCTTGAGCAGCTGAACTGAGCTTACACTTGCCGTTGTTTCCGAAGCGACAGCGACACAGCGCCCCCAGTCGCGTAGCTGAGTTTCGGTCCAGGCGTTCACCTGTCAAGCTTGTTGTTGTCTCGATCCCTCATGGAGAGCATCGTCTGCTATTTGCAACTGCTCATTATTCACCCGTTCTCACCATAGAGTCATGAACGTTGTGAGGCTTGATGTGTGATAGTGTAGTTTGGTGTCAGGAGGAAGACATGCCTCCCAACGACACGCGGACCGTCCAGTTCAGTGGTGCGGTGAGCACCGAGGCCTTTCGTGCATGCTCCATGTACATCTTGCAGATCTTGGGGCTGATGATGCACGCCGTGCAGCAGTTACGCGATAGAATGTCAGAACAAATCCTAGCTGCAGAGCAGTCATCTTCCGCAGAGCCGCAGACGGCATGTGCTCCGGCGAGAGATGATGGGAAGATGCTCATGTCCATTTCCTGATCAAGTCACATGACTCTCCACCGGCTGGCATCTCGACTTCTGTCTTTGATGCATATCCTTTCTCAATCGTGCCAGGCCATTCCAGCCTCCGGCAGAAGACGGCCCAGCCGGGAGAGACAAGCCACCCCTTTCGTGAAGGTGCTTTGGAACCAGCCTGGTGGGTCTTGTTCTTGGCTTTCGCCCTTCAACTTCATTAAGACCATTAAGACTGTGGTTGAAGTAAAAATTTCTTCGATTGAATCGTTGGCTACAACGAAGCAAGATAATCCAGAGAAAGGCAGGTCTGTGTCCTGACTCGCACCCCCCGGCCTGGCTTGCACTTTGCCGGTTCGGATTCATAACACTTTCCTCGCCAAGGAGAGACGCATATTGCCTTTCGAAAGTGCTGTTCATTTCGCTAAGCCGCTAGGGGCTTTGTCCCTACACCTCGAGTGCCCGATGCCTGAACGCTGCTAGGTCTGGTGCCTTTTTTGCGAGCCTGCGGGGTAGACGCTCAGAACATGTTGTTGCGAGACTGCTCAGGAGGAAGACGTGCCTCCCAACGACGCGCGGACAGTTCAGTTCTCCGCTGCGGTCAGTACCGAGGCTTTCCAAGAGCGCTCTGCTTGCTGAGATTGAGGGACACCATGATTTTGTTTGCAATGTCAGTGAGAGACCGGCAGGCCATTCCAGGCTCTGGCAGCAGACGGTCCAGCCGCGAAAGACGAGCCACTCCTTTCGTCAAGGATTTCTGCTGTCTTGCAATGTTTCGGCCTCTGCTCTCTCGGTCATGCTTCCAGATCACAGCCGCCAACTGTGAACATGCATGCCGCCTCCTTGAAACAGACTACCGACCTCAGTTGGAAGGAAGAGGATGTGCCGAACAATGTGCGTACCGTGCAGTTCAGTGGCGCCCTGACTTCCGAGGCATGCATGCAATGTCAGTGCAAGCATTGAAATTGTAAGGTGTAGCTGACTGTGCACTTACAGAAGAAGTGTAGGCAGAAAAACATATGGATACGAATCGTTGAATCGACCTCAACATGCACTGGATATCCCCCGTCTTTACAAAGTGAAGGTTGTGAAGGACGTAGGTCAAATTGTGCTCTTTTCTGTCTTCACTTTTTCTAACTGCAGGCAAGACTCAGCGATGAAGCAGCCAACCGCCTTGGAGTAGCGATTAGGAAGCCGGTGGTTGGGCTGGGCAGAGAGAGGGCTCTGGTCAAAGTTGCATTACGCAGTGGCGACGAAGCCTGGGTAAATGCCGGGAAGACGTCATTAAGTGCAACTTTCTTAGAGCATAGGGGATCACTAGATCTTGTTTGTTCTCAACATCGGCTCCTTTTGCGGCATTTGGAGCTTTGTTCCAATCGGGCTCAGGCGTCTTCTGTTGTCTTACGATGTCTTAGGATCCTTCGGGCAACACCACCTCCGAGAGAGATCGATCCATCCGAGGCTCTCCCTTGCAAGCAAAGTTGGAAAATCCGTTTTCAGGCCTCGGTTCAATTCTCCGACGCGGTTTCGATCGCGAGCGGAGCACTGGAGCTGCCGGAGACGGTGCCGGAGGTGGGCCGAATGACGAGGGAGACACAGTGATGCGGTATTGGTCGGAGCAAGCTGCTTGTCGCTGGCTAAATAAACAGCGGCATCTGGTAACCACAACTGTTCACAGCCAGTCATCCGCAGACTTGTCACAGTTGTTCAATCTGCATCTGTAGGTTGGCAATCGGTCGGTGCGCGACCACATCGCCACACCCTATGCGCCTGCAGCTGCCTTGTCTGAGGCACAGCACTGTTCTTGTTTCCTGGGGCCCTTTCGATGCAGCGCAGGATCGGCGAGTGTTGCTTGCGCCGGTGGTGTCCACGGTCGAGGACTATTGATGCCCCGCAAGCGCCAGCACTGGAACATGCGAACGTAGCTTGCAACATCCCGCAGCCTCTTCAAGGAGTTCGAAGTCCAAGGCTCCAGGGAGACTTTCCGATCCAGCAGGGACAGGACAGGGCATGAAAGCATGGAGTGCAGTCAAGTGAGTCCTTTTCAGTCGTGCCAAATCTCCTGAGATCTTGTTCTGAGATGTCATGCCAGACAACAACATAAACTTGTTAATAATACTCCGAGTGTTGTTCTGTTCCGGTGTGTCCTAGACATCCCCGCGGTCGAGTGCAAATTTTGGCCAAGGCCTTCACCACGTTTGTCCATAGCCTCCAAGTCGTGCAGACGCTAGAGCACAATTGTACTGTGTGTGTGTGTAAGATTGTGTAAGCAGTAGTGGGCTTCAGACCAGCTCATTGCGAGTCTAGTCGGCAGCACGATCCTTGCAATTTTTCTTGCGACAGGATGCCAACTCCCTATGTGAGCACCGACATGGTGGAGGATTGCAGATCAGTCGCGCTGGGAGCGCTTGTTTTTACTGGTCTGCTTTTGAGGACACGCCTGCAGATGCTGCGGCTAAGACGGTTCGGATACTTCGGGCAGCTGAGATCCAGGCTGGGACACGAATCGACGAATGTCCGGTGACCTGTTCGATGAGACACCGAGACCCAGGCCATCCCTGCTTCCGGGCAGAGACGCTCGAGTCGAGATCGACAGGCGACACCCTTCGTCAAGGAGAACCTGCCATAACCCTTTGTGCCTCGAGTCTCGAGTCAGAAGACTGGAGTTGCAACCATGCGCGCACGCAGGGCCAGACCGCCGAAAGAGTAGGCGTCATGAACCGAAGCGTTCCGTAAGTGTGTCCGGTACGACACATGACACCTGAACGATCACGGACGCCAAGCAGCTGGTCATCAGCGTGTCCACGTCTTTGCGACCTTGAATATCCTCGACACATGCTTTTGCCGCCGAGGAGGATGCACATGACGAAATGCGGACGGTCCAATTCAACAACGTGGTCAGTACTGAGGCCGTCCGCCGGTTTCTGTCGATAGCGATGGGACTTAGAATGGCACAAGCATGAGCGACCTGGTGTTGTATAATTTTACGACGCGTTGCTGCGTAACTTGAATGCTCACTCAGCACTGCACTGCATCTTTGTCCCTTCTTGCAGGTGCAGCCCATGTCACAAGTGGTACCGGCTTGTTTACATGCTCTGGGCAGCAGCTTATGTGGAGCCCCGCCGTTGTAGAGTACTCGCATGTACGCACAAACTGTAGTTGCAACTCCTCACACACCATATACCATGAAGCGCCAAATGCAGCAGACGCTACATTGACACAGGGAGGCCGGGCATGGCGAAGCCAAGCTCGAGCAGAGTCAGTGCGATCTCCTCGGCTGCTCTTCACCCTCGACGGTTCGGCTGTATGGACTGCTAGGTGAAGATAAATCAGCTTCGCGGCGAACTGTCCACTGCAAATGGTCAACTAAGACCGCCGATGAGAAAACCCTCTCCGCGCTTTTAGGTAGCAGGATCCCAATACAGGGGCCCCTTAAACAGAGGCGGGAGATTGATCAGGGGTCTACATTAATTCTCACGACATGCAATGAAAAACACTTCCGCATTTTCAATGGCATGTCCTGACCAGAACGCGCCCGGCTTCGTCACAGCCGCGCGTTTCAGTGTGTGTGTCCATGTCCATCCCGGCATCACGAAAATGCGTGCATGCAGTTTGCAGGGTCATTCGCCCCTCTCTTCGTACACATGCAGTGGCATGCCTAGCTCACGCTGGCTGTTGAAATTGACAGCAAGTGCAGACTGCAGTTGAACGACATCGAGCGCACACTTCCCCTGTTTCGGAGAACCCTTCATTCTTGTGTTCGACTCAAGCGACACTGGGCATCTTTGCCAGGATGACGTGAGGTCGACTCGCGACAGAGTTGCCACACCGTTTGCACCACCTGCAGAGGATGATGCCCATCAGGCAGGGAAAACAGTAGACTCCGTGTTATGCCACATTCTCTCGAAGAGTTCTTTATGCTGCATAAGGACCGCAGGGTAGCGCTCGCACCGGTCTTGTCCGTGGTTGAGGCCAGGGCTGGCACGGGCTGTTCGCATTTCGCAGTAGCAGTAGCAGCAGGAACAGTCGCGGCACTAGCAATAGCAGCACTAGCTGTAGTAGCACCAGTGCTAGTAGTAGCTGTCGTCGTGGTGGTGGTCGTGGAGGAGGCAATGGCAGCAGTAGCCTTGGTAGCAGTAGTAGTAGTAGTAGTAGTAGTAGTACTCACTCACTCGGTGCGCCGAATCGTCCAAGATCCGCAGCGAGGACAGGCACGTACGGCCCGGCGAATGTGCATCGCACCACCCATTGGTGGCTCCTAGAACAAATCTATACACTCATAGCCGCAGTGGAAAACATTCAGTCCATTCCATCAAGAGGATCAACGACGGCCTCAACTTCCTCCACTTCGATCGCTTGGCTCACTGCCACCAGCGAAGTGCCAGGATTGGGAACATCAGTCGAGGATCCCGAGCCGCTATTGGCACCAGAAGGCGAAGGAAACGAGGAAGGTGTCGTAGCAGGCAGAGGCGCAAACGGAACAGATCCAGGAGCCATAGCAGGAGGGTTGATACTGTGGCACCAACGAGTGTGCACCTGACCACCAGTCTGCCGGCATGTGGAGCAGCAATGGATGTGTGTGCCAAAGGTAACCCTGCCACACTCCCTGGTGCAGCAAACTCCCTGTGGCCCACGCGCAGCTTCATGGCGCTCCTGCTCCAAGCGCTCTCGGCGAGCATATATGCGCTGCTCATGTAGACACCGTCGTGTGTGGCGAAATGCATCCGAGAATCGGCAGTCCGAGCAGCAATGTCTATGTCCGTTAGCCCTAAAATTGGAAAGACAATTGTTATTGCAGCAGGGCACCCAAATCGGCTCGCTGGAGTGTCCATCCACCGTGATCCATAGAGGGCACCCGCCGCATTGGCATTGGCATTGGCACCAGCTGCCGGGCTAGCCGTGATCCCCACCGCAGGTTGGGCCTGAGAGGAAGGTGCGGCATTCGCCCCAGTGGTCGCCCTCGCAGAGTCGGCCGCAGCCGCCATGTTCGAGTCGGTAGACTCCCTGCAACAACAACTGACAGTCGCAAGACGAATGCAAACGTGGAGTGTGCAGGCAAGACGTTCAGGCAACGCAGGCCTACGTCCACCGCTCATATCGAAAGGACCTGAGTCAAGGCTGATATTGGGCACCTACCATGCTGAAGAATGCAATGCAGAGATGGCAATCGATGACCATCACACGCCAGTGCAAGCACCGTTTTAGGCAGCTGCAGGCTCCCCACGCCGCAGCGTTCAAGTGCAGACTCGTGTGTCCCTCACACCGGTAGCGGGTAGCGCCACCCTAAATCTATGGAACAGCAAAGCCAAAGTCAAGGAGCAGGCTTTTATCGCAAGGGGACAGGCTTGCATGATGGCCCGCCGTGTACGCAATGACTACAAAGCGATCTCCGGAGTGCCACGGCATGTTAGAGTGTGGCATCGCCTGACCGCAAAACAGCACTGCAGATGCACTCACTGGGTAGAGCTCACCACGCAGGACATCATTGCCATTGTTGAGGAGACACACCCCTTCTGGCTGCTGCACCCAGAGCTCACCCCGCTCGAAGTGCGAGAACCCAATGATGAGGCTGGGCGCTGGGTCGTTCCATTTGTCAGTGTGAACAGATACCCTATTGTTGAGGCAGACTGTAACGGTCGTCCACGTCATGCCAGGAGACACGGCTTGCACAACTCGATTCAGCAGTCTACAGACGTTGCCGTGCCGGCGCGTATTTTTGCATAGTCCAACAGCCCCACCTTTGCAGTAAGCACCAAGCGCAAAGCTGAATCCATCCGCAAACACTCTCTTGTCCGGCACGAAGGTCAGGGCCACAATAACATCCCTGACAGCGACCCACAATGAACCTCTGCCTTCTAGCAGGTGCTCCTGTGCCCGTTGTTCCGCCATGGTTGTCAGGGTGTCACACGGCAGGGAGGGCGGGAAGTCAACAATGACATTGCTGCAGAAACGACTGGCCAGCTCAGCGGCATACGCTAGGAAGGTCGCCCAATCATCGTCCTTCAAGTGCCTGCTCGCATGTGAAATCAGATCATTTCTGGACGCGAGGGATAACGCCGGCGGGCATGCATCTTCGGTCGACGCACTTAGCAACTGGCGATATGCATTGAGGAGCAGCTTTTCCTCCAGTGCCACTTCAGACATGTGTGCCGGCAGTGGCACCTGATTAGGCATACTGGGGTCGGGGAGGGGGTGCTACCTGGCATTGAGACAAAAGCAGCGCTGGAGCAGCACATGACAGGGCTCAAGATCGACGAGTGCAGCATACTGAGTGGCTGACACAGGACCCGAAGGCAACTGCCCAAGAGCTTCGAGCCAGCTGTTGCACGATAGCGCGGCATCACATAAACAACGTGGACCCAATTGAACGGAATGAGACAAAACAAAAGAAACTGCAGGCAAAAGTGTTTGTACGGCTCAGGCCGAGATGTGGTCGACTCCGCAGGTTGTCGACGGTACGTTAACAGATGCGCAGAGAGACTATGGGTCATCAGGGCTAACCCTAACTAACCCAACCAAATAGCAATTAGCCATCAGGATCTGCAGGTCAGCGGGCCCTGCGCGTCTGGGCACGCAACCGTCATTGCAGATGGCAAACTGCCAGGGAGCTGTTGCGGCTTGTCCGCGTTTCTCACTCAATGCAACTTGGTAGTGTCCCGAGTAGGGGGTCTGGCCCTGGTGGAATATTACATACCCTACGCGGAATCGCAAAAGTTGCAGCTCCAGGCCTTCTTGTGAGGCAAATTGAGGAAGGACGATGATTTCACCAGGTTGAATGTGCACAGGCTCTATAGTTTTGAAAGCACGTCCTTGCGCAAACCCATAGCGTTTGAGCTGTGACTATGAAGGGCATGTATAGCTACCTGGTGAGT